AAATAGCTGAAACAGGAAATTCACTCAAAAAACAAGTTACCTTTACCAGGGAAGCAATGGCAGGAGCCTGTGGTGAGTCCCTATCTCAAACTGAGCTCTCACACTAATTATCAAGTAAAAAAAAAAAATCATGATTTAGGCGAATCAAAATTTTGAGATTATCAGTGTTATTGTAAGGAAGGCAAGTACTGCAATAAGGTGAATGTTCAGCTATCAATAAAAACTGAAGGGGTCTGAAGATGTAGCTCAATGGTAAAATGCCTGCCTAGCACATCTGAGGCCTTGGGTTCAATTTCCAGCAACAAATCTAGACTTAGGAAGAGTGAATCAGTAAAAGAGATCATTCCAAAAAGAAAGAGACCAATGGGCAGTGAGAGGGAGGCCCTAGTGCACCAGAGGGGAACACCCTGACCATGAGATCTACAACTGCCTCACTGGCTAGACAGAGAAGGGCTCCTCTTTCATAGAGTATAGGTAAAGACCGAGAGAGGGGAGCAGGTTGCAAGGGAGGAGGAAGAACCGGTCGGACAGTGCATCAGAGAATGTTTTCTCCATTCCCAGTCAACCTACTCTGGAGTGGTGGAAGAAGAAATTGCTTCCTATCTCAGGCTGTGGGTGGGTCGGAGTTTCAAGGCATTGGGGGAGAGGCCAGAGGAACGGGGTTAGGTCAAGTCAGGGCAGCTGTCATTCTGATCAGAGTGAGAACAAGACAGACCAACAGTTTTTGAGGTAAGTGGGAATTTGAGTGGGGCTTGGTGACGCAGGCCTGTAATCTCAGCACTGCAGGAGGCTGGGGCAGGAAGACTGCAACAAGTTCCAGCCAAACTTGGCCAATATAGCGACTCTTAAAAAAAAAAAGAGGGACGGGGATGTAACTCAGTGCGAAGTTGCCGGGTTCAATCTCCAGAACCAGAATTAAAAAAAAAAAAATTCTTTTAAAAAAAGGAATGCTTAGGGTCTGTGTTTGAGCTTGTCATGAACAGCATCTACATCCTACAGGGAAGGGCGGCCCCTGAATAAACCCTTTCAGGAGCACAGAGGGTGGGGTCATTGTTTAACCGTCACTCTCCAGACGACCGGGTCACGAAGCAGGTAAGTCTCTCCAAGGATGCCGTCGGAGGCTGCAGATGTGAAGAGGTAAGGACGTAGATTCTTGAGTTCTCGGGTGAGCCCACACTTAGCTCCCAGCGTTTCCCGGGCCTTCGGCGGCGATCACCAGAAGGTGCATCTGCTGGAAGAGACGCGGCCGCCATGAGCGTGCCACTGCAGGCCCGAGACTCCTGGCCCCGCCCCGCTCCGGCCCCGCCCCCGGCCTCGGTACGCCCCGCCCCCGCGCGCGCCCTTGCCCAGCGGAGACGGCGGGAGGCGCGCCCGATTTCGGCCGCGCCACAGGGTAGGCTGAGAGGGTCTAGGGGCAGCGGCGCGCCAGCTTGAGGGATCCCCGCCGAGCGGCGGCAACTGTGCCCGCAGGCTGAGAACGACTGGAGGAGGGGGCCGCGAGGCCGCGCCCAGGGGTGAGTTTTCTGGGGGCCGGCTGGGGCGGGCGTCTGTCCGCGAGGCCTGGGGTCACCCTCTCCGGCCGCGGTGCGTCGACATCGGGTCGCTGGCAGGCCCGGGCTCCCGGCTCCGGTGCCCTCGGCCGCGCTGAAACTTGGAGCGGGCTGCAGTCGAGACCTTTCTATTTCCGAAGGGCGCGCCGCGAGCGCGCAGCCGGGGCAGAGCGGCTGCTGGGGCGGGCGTTCTGGACCGGCTTCCTCGGTCTCCACGCCTCGCCCCTCCGAGGCCGGTAAGGGCTGCTGCTCGCCGTGCGCCTGCCTACCCTGGCGCTTCTAGGTGACTCTTGCTTTTCGATGGCTGTAATAAAAGAGGCTGTTCCTGGGGCGGGGCTGACTGGCGGCTCTGCCCCGTTGGCTCGTTTGTGCGTAACTTGAGAGAATGCTAAATAAAGATGGGAAACTGCTGGTCTGTACTGCTGTTAACGCAGGAAGGAGCAGCGTGGTGGTGTAACGCGTAGCTCATTGTGGTTTGTTTTAGTGAGGAAAGGTCTTTACACTGTAATGGAAGTAGTGTTTATTTAAATGCTTACCATCTTTGAATAATGCTAAAGTTAGTCCTAGGTACCGGTGGACTCCAAAAATGAGTACGAATTGCCTGCAGAAAGAAGGGGGTGATTAGGTACACTATACAGTAATAATAGGCCAAATGCAATAGTAACAGCAGCTACTACTTAGTGAGCTCTTAGCTGGGCACTCTCCTGTGTGACTTGATTTTTTGAGCCTTGCTGTGTAGTCCAGCTTGGCCTCGAACTATTGATCCTCCTACTTCAGCCTCCTGAGTCCCATCATGCCACTATATGCATGTGCCATCGAAGCCGGTGGTCCCGAGTACATGCATATATTCCTTAACAACAATGTCGATTACTTAATACCTTAACTTTTTTTTTTTTTTTTTTTTTGAGACAGGGTAGTTCAGGCTAGTCTCGAACTCGAAGCAATCCTGCCTTGGCCTCCCAAGTATTGGGATTGCAGGCTTGATCCACCACACTTGGGAGGTGGGACCCAGACAGCTCCCCTCATTATCTTCTCCCTCCTCCTCTGCGGCATTTTCTTTGTCTTTTGTTTTGTTTTTTGAGACAAGGCCTCTCTACGTAGTTCAGGCTGTTCCTGAACTCAGTAAGTAACCCAGGCTGGCCTTGAACTTTTGGCAATCCTCCTGCCTAAGCCTCCGGAGCGCTGGATTACAGGTGTGTGCCACCACACCCAGATTCTTAATTGTTTACTGTTACTCAAAACTTCAGTATCAGTACATATAGTGATTGTTAAGGATATGATGTGGACATGACATTTAAAACTGTGCCTTTAGACTGTACAGTGTCAGTGGGCAAAACAGGTATTAAATAACCACAAATAAATGGCAGTAAGCTAAGATAGAAAGCTAAGATAGAAGCTAAAAAAAAAAAAAGAGTCTGAGAGAGTAATAGGGGAACTTATTGCCAGGCAGGGAAATCAGGTAAAGTTTTCCTAGGAAGGGAATCTTTGCGCAGAAGTTTCATGGGTAGATAAGAGTCAGGTGAAGATTGGCTCCTAAAGGAGAGAAGAGTCCAGGCAAAGGAAATAGATTCCCCAGAGGCCAAGAAGATGGCCATTTCAGGAATTTCAAGGTTCACAGCAGTAGGAGTGGAAAGCAGTTGGAAAGCAAAAGGCATCTATGATAAAGTAGTTCAGGGCCTGGTGAGGATGTAGACATTTTAAGCAGTGCTAAAAATTTGGGACCAGCTTCTTCCCCTGAGCCTGGCTTCACATTCACACCTCAGCCTCCTGTGTGAGCCACCATACTCCTGCTGTGCAGTTGGGAGGCAGAGGTTAAAACAGGATCTCACTATGTAGCCCAGGCTGGCCTTGAACTCTCAGGATCCTCCTGCCTCAGCCTATCGAGTGCTGGGATTGCAGGCGTGCCTCAGGGCTGGCGCAACTTTAAAATCAATTCTAGACCTTGGCATGGTGAGGCATGCCTGTAATCCCAGCACTCTGGAGTCTAAGACAGGAGGATCACTTAGACTTCAAGGCCACCCTGGGCTACATAGGGACACCCTGTTTCAAAAAAAAAATCTGTGAGAAAAAATCTGTGTATGTTAAAAAGATATCTTCCAGGTAGTCTACATTTATTTGAATTTTCTGTTTAATGGATATGTTACACAAAGCTCAGTCTGTTCTGTCTGCTGACTGATTTTATCACTGTAGTTGTTGGGAGGAAGTGGGATAATACTTGGTGAGGTAATTGACAAACATATACAATACAAACGGAAGATGGAAGAAAAAAATGAAAGAAGTTTGTTTTTCACAACAGGTATTTGTCAGATGGCTTTTTTTTTTTCTTTTTGAGACAGGGTCTGGTTATGCAGTACAGGCTGGCCTTGAGCTTACTTTGTAGCCCAAGCTAGTCTTGAACTTGCAACAGTCCTCCTGCCTCAGCTGGGATTACAGACTGCTGAGATTACAGGCATGCATCACCATGCCTGGCTTGTCAGATGGCTTTCATTTGCTGCAGTGAACAACATGATCTAGGTTCTCATTCATGTCATATGACTGATACATTTGTAGAAGCTCATTCAGTTGCTGTAAGTAAATTTTACCCTTTGTACATTGCTTTTATGATAGAAAATGCTTAAAATAATGGTAACTTTGTCTTCATGTTACAATTAATTTTTTTCATACTTCTATGCTATGTTTGTGGTTAGTAATTCAATATACTTTTTTCAGTGTATGAGCTCTCTAATAGAGACTGTCATACTGACACATATCATTAGTTCTAAACTAGTGCTTTGCACATGGTGCTGGCAAGTTCACTAAGTATATATCTGTTTTTAAAAGTTTAATTAGTAAAGTCCAAAGTAAGATTTCATAGCCATGGCAAAATCACAACCTTTTTTGCGGTGCTGGGGGTCAAACCCAGAGCTTTGCACATGCCAGGAAAGAGCTCTACCACTGAGTCCTTATAATTATGACTTTTATGATTTTCTGAAGATGTAGCTGGGCGTAGTGGCACATGGCTGTAATCCCAGCACTCTGGGAGGCTGAGGCAAGAGGACTGCAAGTTGCATTTTTTTGGGGGGGGGTTGTTTGTTTATTTTGTTTGACTTTTTTTTTCTGGGTTTTTTGTTTTTTTTTTTTTTTTGGTCTTTTTGAGACAGTGTCTCACTATGCAGTTCAGGCTAGCCTTGAACTGACTTTGTAGCCCAGGCTGATCTCAATGTAGCAATCCTCCTGCCTCAGCCTCCCCAGTGCTGGGATTACAGGCATGCACCACCACGTCTGGCTAGTTGGTTGTTTTGTTTGAGTCAGGGTCTCACTATGTAGTTCAGGCTGGCCTTGAATTCACTGTGTAGCCCAGGCTGGCCTTGAACTGATGGCAATCCTCCAGCCCCTGCTTCCCAAGTGTTGAGATTATAGGTCCCCCAGCCTGAAGATATTTCTTACTAATCACTTTAACAGATATATGGTAGAGGGAGAAGAAGAGGGCATAATATGACTGTGTTCTCAGTATTCCCTTTAGTCCTTAAAGCAGCCAAAAAAAAAAAAAAAAATTAAAAGCAGCCCAATGAGGAGGATAACTATCTCCATGCTGCAGGACTCAGAGAAGTTAAATACCATGTGCAAAGTCCCTCAGCTCCAAAGTGGTATGATTAATGTTCCAGGACACATAATTTGAATTCAAGGTCTGTTCTATCTTCATTCTCTTTTCCTGTCATAAAACATAAAAGCAGTTTATCAGCTTGTAAGTATAAAGTGATGAAAAAATTATTAGCAATTTGCTATTAAAGAGAAATAGTGTGATCCTTTAAGGATGGCTGTTTTTTGCATTTGCTACACACTGGAGAAAAAATAGGAAATGTGTAAGTCATAGTACATGTCCCTACAGTTCTTGGATCTAGTAGAAAGAACTAAAGGAAATGATTAGTCATGTGTGGTGGTGCAGCCCTGTAACCCCAGAGCTTGGGAGGCTGAAGCAAGAAGATTGCTGCAAGTTGGAGACCAGCTGGGGCCTCATAGTTTTCTTGGGTTTTTTTCAGGGGAGGGTTTCTTTGTTTGTTTTTTTTGAGACAGGGTCTCACTGTGTAGTTCAGGCTGACCTGAGTTCACTCGAGGCCCAGGCTGGCCTCCAACTTATAGCATTTCTCCTGCCTCTGCCTCATGAGTGCTGGGACTACAGGAGTTTTTTTGTTTTGTTTTGTTTTTTGAAAGAGGATCTCACTATATAGGTCAGGCTGGCTTTGAACCCACTATATATCCTAGGCTGGCCTCGAACTCACTGCAATTGTCCTCCTCAGCCTGCTGAGTGCTGGGAGTTATAGGCATATGCCACCATACCTGGCTACAGGCCTGACTGCATAGTGAGTTAAAGGCCAGCCTCAGTGAGACCCTGTCTCAAAAAAAAAGAAACATCAATAAACAGTATTAAAAATAAGATTTAATGCCTAAAATTTAAATGCTTATGAGAAAATATTTAATATTTCATCTTTATTATGGAAATTGTTTTTTTTCCCCTCAGTAGTGAGGATCTAAACCAGGTGTGCTATACCACTGAGGTACATCCCCAGCCCTTTTTTTTTTTTTTTTTGATAGGATCTGACTGTGTAGTGCAGTTGGCCTTGAACCTACTTATGCAGGCCAGGCTGGCCTCACAGCAGTCCTGCCTCAGCCTCTTGAGTGCTGGGGTTACAGGCATGTGCCACCATGCCTGGCCCCAGTCCTTTGTTGTTTTTTATTTTGAGGCAGTATCACTAAATTGCCCAGGACAACCCTGAACTTGTGAGCCTCTTACCTCAGCCTCTGGAGTAGCTGGGATTATAGGCATGTACTATAATACCACTGAGGCGGGAAATGGGTCTTGACCTAGGATTTGAAAGATACTTAGATTGAATAGATAGAAGAATGGATACAATGTGAACCAAAAAGTAAAGATCATATATAATGTTTTAAATGCTTTAGAAAAAACTTCAGAGTTTATAAATTGTATATATTTGTAGGGTACAGTGTAATGTTTTGTTACATGTATACGTGCTTGGGTAATGAAAGCAGACTGATTCACATATCCATAACCTCCAAATGATTATCATTTCTTTGTGGTAACAATATTTAAAACCTACTTTTTAACTGTTTTGAAATAGACAATGTATTATTATTAATTGTAGGAGATTGTTTTGAGTTACTTGGAAAACTGTTAAAAGTAAAGCAAGCAACCCCATCAGAATGCAGTGTCCATAAATAGCATCTTTTGTCTGTTTTGCCCAGTTTCTATCCTAAACTCCTAGAATCCTGCCTGGTATAATAGTGGGTGCTGAGTTAATACACATTTTATGTTGTTGTTTTGTTTTATTTATTTATTTATTTATTTATTTGAGGGATTGAGGTTATTTGTGGGGTGTTTTTGTTTTTGTTTTTTTAGACAGGGTCTCCTTATGTAGTCCAGGCTGGCCTTAAACTCACTCTGTATCCCAAGCTCACTTCAAATTTATGAAGATCCTCTTGCCCCATGCCTCACCCATACAAGTGCTGAGATTACAGGCATGTACCACCCTGCCCAGCTTAGGTTTTTTTGAAACAGGGTTTTACCATGTAGTTCAGGCTGGCCTTGAACTCACTGGGTAGCCCAGACTGCCCTCTAACTCACAGAGAGACTCCTGCCTCAGCCTTCCGAGTACTGGTATTATAGGCATGTATCACACCTGCAATTATCCTACTTTCATTCCTTGAAAATCTTTATGCAGCATTTTAGTGTAGATTTTAAATGTGTCCTGTTTTAATCTATATCTGATGTATCTGGTTCCAGTATTTATGGATGGGGGTTGGTTGGTTGGTTGGTTGTTGTGTCAGGCATCGAACTAAGTCTTAAACATACTAGATAGGCCCTCACCACAGAGCAAATCTCCTCTACCATTGTGACTATCTGTTACAGCCATTGTTTTTACCCAGTCTATGTCCAGTTTTCCTGGCTCAGAATTCCCAGATCTGAAATTTGTAAATATCTTCTTCCTCTGTTAAGTTCTAGTCAGTAACAAACTTTACTCTGTAACAGCTAGTATAGTACAGTGGTGGGGAGCCTATGCAGCAGGCTGTTTATATCATTGAAAGCTCTAAAAGGTTCACTATCACTGAACCAGGACATGAGGAACAACACCTAGAAACAGAGGCAAAATGTGCAGGCCCCACTGTACTAGCCACAGGAACCTGGAACAGAAATCAGGGCGTGAAACCATCCAGGTGACTGTCTGTGGGAAAGCTACACCTTGATCCTCAGTGTCTTAGATTAAAACTATCTGTAGATACTTTGCAGTGAGAGCAGTAGAGTGTTTCTAGTGTCCATTTTCTGGTTCTCATTGCTTTGAGTTGGATCTGGTATATCTGGTGTCATTGAGCAGATCTGCCTTCTACTGAGATCTGCTTGAAATTTTGCTTTTCTTACCCCAATACTGGGACTCAAACCCAGGACCCTATGTATATATGCAGACCAAGTACACTGCTGCTGAGCTATATTTCTAGCCTTCCCTTTTTTTCTTTTCTTTTTTTTTTTTTTTTAATTTTAAACAAGGACTTGTTAAGTTGCCCAGGTTAGCTTTAAATGTTAGAAAGTCATTGACTTTTTTTAATATTCAGTTTAGTTGTGTTTTCCTCAGTTTAGTAATCCTCAGATTAGATAGAACACATAGAATTTTTTTCTCAGTTTTGAGTTTAAATAATTAATTTGTATAAGAGGCAGTTGATAAGTATTGCCTATTTGACTTCACATAGCACTTCCAAACACCACTAAAATTTTCTCTGCCCACATTGCCATTAAGCCATGTATCAACTAGGTGTCTTATGAAGCTTTTTAAGCTGTCGTTTTTGCAAATTTATCTTTATTTTAGACATACTAAATACTCTCAATTTATCATATTACATATAAATTCATAGTACTCGTCACGGCTTCACATTATAATTTAGAGAATAAGAGGCATCATTTTTACCAAGAATCCATATCTTTAGAATAACTGCCATTGTTAAATTATTGAAAGTAATTTTCTGGTTTGTTTTCCACCCGCCTCTTAGCCCCCAAGTAGCTGGAATTACAGGTCCAGGCCACTGAGCCCAGCAAGTGTAGCTTCTGTTTGTTTGTTTTTGTTTTTCTTCCAGTACCAGGAATCAAACTCATGACCTTGCACTTGCCAGGCAGGCGTTGTGCCACTGAGCTAAATCCTCAGCCCCAAGTGTAGCTTTTGATAGAACAAAACTAATGCCTTTTTAAAGGCTTAATAAATGCCAATACAATGTTTGGGGTGGGGAAATATAAATATATATATATATAAATATATAAAAATCCAGATCTCATCAGTACCAGATTGGACTTTGAACTTGTGGGGTTTTGATCTTCATTCCTTGGTCTCCCAAGTATCTAGAACTATAGGCAAGCACCACCACACGCAGCCATTATGGGTTTTTTTTTAAATCTGTGGCAGTAGTCATGGTACATTCTTTGCTGTATCCAAGGGTTTCTCAACCTAACACTTTTGACATTTGGGCACAGTAATTTCTTGTGTGGCCAACAGCACTCTTCTGCCCTACTTGTGACAACCAAAAATGTCTTCGGCTATTGTCATTGATTGCCATTATGTCCTTTGATGGGCAGTTGCCATCTGGTTGAGACCAAGTGCTTTATCCTCATACCATAATTTCGTAAAAAACAATATTATAGGTTTTTGTTGTTGTTGTTTTGGGATAATATCTCAGTATGTAGTACAGTTGGCTTGTAGCCCAGGCTAGCCTCGAACTCATGGTGAACCTCTTGCTTCAGCCTCCCAAGTGCTGGGACTATAGGTGTGCACCACCACGCCCAACTGATTAATGTTATTAATATTACTTGAAAGGTAATGGAAGTTGCTTTTAAGCAACTTTGGATCTAAAGTGTCCCCTCAGCCAGTTGTGGTGGCTCTGATACTGGAGCCAGCCATCCATGGACTGAAACCATGAACCAAAATACATCTGTCCTCCTTTCAGTTGCTTTTCTTAGGTTCTTTATCACAGTAATAGTAATTGACCTGTGGATTTTTCCCCGTAAGATTCATCACAGTAAGATATGCACATTTCTGTGTTTTATGTATGTGTGTTTGTAGGACTGGGGATGCAACCTAGGGCATCATCCATGCTAGGCAAGTGTTCTACCACTGAGCTGGGTCCCAGCCCTAAATTACTGTATTTTAAAGTTACTTGATATAGCCAGTCTTCCGGGTCCTAGCTTCCTGCCTAGTAGGCCCCTGGAAGGAGGGCCCCCGGTGCACGGGGAGCCACGCGGTGGCGAGCGCTGTTGCGCACCGGCCCTTAAGCTGGCCGCCACTGCTCAATTGAGAACTATCATGACACAGAGAAACAATGACACAATTGGCCCACCATGCACCGGCTGCAGATGCCCACCCACGGACATGTGTGAATCATTCAAACATGGAGAAACCCCTGGGAATACATGCCATACAATGGGCCACTCTTGCTCCTGCCATTGAGAACCAGAAAGGTCCAAAGTCAGCAGAGGAGCAGCTGCTGAACAAGGACTCGGAGAACGTGAGAATACAGACTAAGCCCGAAGAATCAGAGGTCCTGTGGACTGGGGTCATGAGAGCCTCTCGGAAGCTATAAACCAGGAGGACCTTGCACAACACCTGCAGAGACTCCCTGGAAGCCATTCTTCCCCTGACAGTACAGGTTGTGGTGGAGCTCTGGAGAAGTCTGCAGCAGGATTGCTTCTGCCTGTGCTGTCAGTTGGGGAGAGGACACTAATGGGTTGTAGGGTCCCAATGCGATGGGAGGCTGGAGAGAAAACGCTACAAAAAATGGCTTTCGCCCCAGACTGCTCACTTGATTTTTGACAACCCTTAGGCTGTAACTACTTGTTAGATCCTTCTTGTGTATCTCTGTCTTCCTGAGAAACCACTTCGAAGATACCACCATGTATTACAGCAG